GAGTCAGACAGGTAGAGTCAGACAGGTAGAGACAGACAGGTAGAGTCAGACAGGTATAGTCAGACAGGTAGAGTCAGACAGGTAAAGTCAGACAGGTAGAGACAGACAGGTAGAGACAGACAGGTAGAGTCAGACAGGTAGAGACAGACAGGTAGAGTCAGACAGGTGTAGAGACAGACAGGTAGAGTCAGACAGGTAGAGTCAGACAGGTGTAGAGACAGACAGGTAGAGACAGACAGGTAGAGTCAGACAGGTAGAGACAGACAGGTAGAGACAGACAGGTGTAGAGTCAGACAGGTAGAGTCAGACAGGTAGAGACAAACAGGTAGAGTCAGACAGGTAGAGTCAGACAGGTAGAGACAGACAGGTAGAGACAGACAGGTAGAGTCAGACAGGTGTAGAGACAGACAGGTAGAGACAGACAGGTAGAGTCAGACAGGTGTAGAGACAGACAGATAGAGACAGACAGGTAGAGTCAGACAGGTAGAGTCAGACAGGTAGAGTCAGACAGGTAGAGACAGACAGGTATAGTCAGACAGGTAGAGACAGACAGGTAGAGTCAGACAGGTAGAGACAGACAGGTAGAGACACACAGGTAGAGACAGACAGGTAGACAGATAGAGACAGACAGGTAGAGTCAGACAGGTAGAGACAGACAGGTATAGTCAGACAGGTAGAGACAGACAGGTAGAGTCAGACAGGTAGAGACAGACAGGTAGAGTCAGACAGGTAGAGACAGACAGGTAGAGACAGACAGGTAGAGACAGACAGGTAGAGTCAGACAGGTAGAGTCAGACAGGTAGAGACAGACAGGTAGAGACAGACAGGTAGAGACAGACAGGTAGAGTCAGACAGGTGTAGAGACAGACAGGTAGAGACAGACAGGTGTAGAGTCAGACAGATAGAGACAGACAGGTGTAGAGACAGACAGGTAGAGACAGACAGGTAGAGTCAGACAGGTAGAGACAGACAGGTAGAGACAGACAGGTAGAGACAGACAGGTAGAGTCAGACAGGTAGAGACAGACAGGTAGAGACAGACAGGTAGAGACAGACAGGTAGAGTCAGACAGGTAGAGTCAGACAGGTAGAGACAGACAGGTAGAGACAGACAGGTAGAGACAGACAGGTAGAGTCAGACAGGTAGAGACAGACAGGTAGAGTCAGACAGGTAGAGACAGACAGGTAGAGACAGACAGGTAGAGTCAGACAGGTAGAGTCAGACAGGTAGAGACAGACAGGTATAGTCAGACAGGTAGAGACAGACAGGTAGAGTCAGACAGGTAGAGACAGACAGGTAGAGACACACAGGTAGACAGATAGAGACAGACAGGTAGAGTCAGACAGGTAGAGACAGACAGGTAGAGTCAGACAGGTAGAGACAGACAGGTAGAGTCAGACAGGTAGAGACAGACAGGTAGAGTCAGACAGGTAGAGTCAGACAGGTAGAGACAGACAGGTATAGTCAGACAGGTAGAGACAGACAGGTAGAGTCAGACAGGTAGAGACAGACAGGTAGAGACACACAGGTAGACAGATAGAGACAGACAGGTAGAGTCAGACAGGTAGAGACAGACAGGTAGAGTCAGACAGGTAGAGACAGACAGGTAGAGTCAGACAGGTAGAGACAGACAGGTAGAGACAGACAGGTAGAGACAGACAGGTAGAGACAGACAGGTAGAGACAGACAGGTAGAGACAGACAGGTGTTGGAAGGTAATCTACGAGGTGAGTGTGTTTGTGACTCAGTTGGTTTTGGTCGTCAGGATGGTCGGTTTGGACCTGAAGAATCGACACAGAAAGGTAGAGGCTGATTTATTATTATTATTCAATCAATCAATCTTTATTTGTATAGCGCCAATTAATAACAAAGGTTATCTCGAGACGTGTTCCAAAGAGCAGGTTAAAGACTTTACTCTTTTTCAAAAGAAGAATGGGATAGGGGGAGATGGGATAATGTGCAGGAAGAATTTCTCCTTTGTATTCCTGGCGTTCCTTTTGTCCTCACTTCCTCTCCGCTGAGGTGGAGGTCGGAGCAGACCGTGTATGAAGGAGGACGGCGGTGGTTGTAGGAAAGACACATTCCGATGGTGGTGGCTGGGCGTCAGGGTTGTCGGATGGTAGCAATGCCCAATCACCTCGTTGAAGGTTGGGGGAGCTCCGTCTGCTCAAGAGTCTGGCTTCTGCTGACGGGACAATGCCTACTGGGCTTCCTGGGCTTAATATGAGTTATTCTGAGTTATTCAGATTCAGATTCAGATTCAGATTCAAATTCAGATTCAGATTCAGATTCAGATTCAGATTCAGATTCAGAAAACTTAATTTATCCCAGAAGGGCAATTCCGTTTCACAACCTACCGAGCCATTGAAAAACGCAAAGACAACATAAAAACAGTTACATTCACATGTCAGTAACAACAGTTCAACAGACGAATAGGTCGTCAAGTGGGAAAGCCAGCGCTATCAATCTACAATTTCCTAATACGATGACAGACTTGTTCAGCATTCAACAGACTGATAGCTGAAGGGATAAAAGAGTTGGAGTATCTATTTGTCCTCCTTGGAGGGGCAAGATAGCGCCGTCCAGAGGGCATTAAAGAAAACTCAGATGAGACAACATGTTCAGGTTGGTTTATGATCCCTTTGGCTTTCTGGACCACACGCTCCTTCCACAGGGAGCTCAAGTCTTTCAGCTGGACTCCAATAATCTTAGAGCAGACTTTTACGATGTAGTTCAAACTGTTCTTGTCCTTCACAGACAACCCATTGAACCAACACATAAAAGAAAATGTTAAAAGACTTTCGATAAAAGAATGATAAAAGCTACATAAAATGCTTTGTGAAACACTAAAAGAGTTCAGCCTCTGCATCAAATGAATTCTCTGTTGGTCTTTTCACGATTGACTCTGTGTTTTCAGAAAACTTAAATTCAGAGTCGAACACTGTCCCAAGGTATTTATATGAGTCCACTATTTCAACCTCTCCACCGTGGATAATGCTAGATTCAGGGTAACAACAGTTCTTCCTAAAATCTATGACCAATTCTTTGGTTTTCAGGACATTAAGCTCCAGGAAGTTGTCATCGCACCACTTAACAAAAGTTGGTAGAGCACCGCCATGGCCTGATTCTGAGCCCTGAAGGAGGGACAGCAGAACAGTGTCATCTGAAAACTTTACCAGATAACTGCTCTCTTGTGATGTTCTGCAGCTATCTGTGTACATGATAAAAAGCAGGGGGGACAGGACACAGCCCTGAGGGGAACCAGTGTTTGACATAATTATTTTCGATATTTGACCATTCATGAAAACCTGCTGAACTCTGTCTGTTAAAAAGTTTAAGAGCAACATTAAAATCTGACCAGGAAGTTTAAAGTGAGAGGATAGTCTCTCAATTAAAATATGAGGCTGCATTTTATTAAAAGCTGAGGAAAAGTCAGCGAATAAAAGTCTGGCATGGGATTTAGGTTTTTCCAGGTGTTTGTACACAGTGGCTAAAATGAAAACCTTGGCGTAGTCCACACCTTTGCCAGCTTGATAAGCAAACTGAAGTGGATCAAGTTGACCATTTATTAATGAGACAACTTCTGCTTTTAGGATTTTCTCAAATGTTTTCATAACAAGTGAAGTAAGAGCGACTGGTCTAAAATCATTCAAATCCTTAGGTTTAGCTGCCTTAGGCACAGGGATAATTGTGGATGTTTTCCAGATGGGGGGTATCACTCAGCGCACATCTGAAAAAGTTTTGTGAATATGTCACTGAGTTGGTCAGCACAGTGACGCAATGTGCGCCCACGGATGGCATCAGGGCCAGCAGCTTTTTTTGTATTAACTCCCTTCAGTAGAGCTGTGACAGTTCCCTGAGAGATCACAAAGACATTCTGAAGAACAAGAGATTCTCTTACTATTGAAATATCATCCAAGAAATCAGACCTTTCCCAGCGAGAAAGAAATGAATTAAAAACATCTGCCAAGTCAGCATCATCCACACCATGTACACAGATAGGAGGCTTAGTCCCACAGGTGGACTGGTTAATTGATGCCATGGATTTTATTCCTTTCCAGGCTGCTCTGAGGTCACCACCACTGAACTGATCCTCAATTTGATTTTTATACTTAAGTTTTGCCTTCCTTATTTCCACCCTGACTTCTCTGGAGACAGCCTTTAACTCCAGGGGGTCAGCAGAGTAGAAAATCCTTTTTATTGATAACTGATTTCAGTTCTTTTGTTACCCAGGGTTTATTATCCGGGTAAGTCAACACCTTTTTAGTTGGGATCAAGGAATCCACACAGAAGGTGATGTAAGACGAGACGGTGTCAGAAGGTTCATTAATGTCATCACAAACATCATAAAAACATTGCCAGTCTGTACATTCAAAACAGGACTGGAGAGATGAGATGCTGGCCTCTGACCAGATTTTTACAGTCCTCTCCTTGCACTCCAGGCGCCTAAAACAAGGTTTGTACGTGGGCATAAGGTAGACACTGTTATGATAGGAAGCACCCAAAGAAGGCAGAGGAAAAGATTTGTAAGCTCCACTTACAGAACCATAACAGAGATCAAGTGAGGTTTCCTTTTGTGTTGTAGCGCAAGTCACATATTGTTCGTATGTCCTCAATGTTTTATTTAACTTGCAATGATTAAAATCCCCCAGAATAAACTTGGGAGCATCTGGGCAGATAGAGTCGAGTTTGTGCATGACGTCAGCGATCAGTTGGGCAGCAGCTGACGCGTTGGCTCGAGGGTGAATGTACACTAACGTGTAAAACAGCTGCTGAAGTTCACGAGGCAGGTAAAATGGGCGGAATGGATCTGTTGGCACACTGACATTGACAGGACACACCTCTGACAAGGTGAACCTTTACTTTCTCTGGTTTCACTCCAGATTCAGGCATGGTAAATGAAAGGATTGCATGTGCATAGGTAAAGGTACACTTTTATTCAGGGGTCCATAGAAAAAGAATGTAAGTGAACGTGATGTCCTCATAAGACAGGTGTTTTTCTGTGCAGGTGTTTGTGGAGCTGAACGAGCTGGTGATCGACAGGAACCAGGAGCTGCAGTGGAGGGAGACAGCTCGATGGATCAAGTTTGAGGAGGAGGTGGAGGAGGAGACAGAGCGCTGGGGGAAGCCTAAAGTCCCCTCCCTCTCCTTCCGTTCCCTGCTGGAGCTCCGAAAAACCATGTCCCATGGTGAGGAGGAGGCTCTCTGCTGCCCCCTGCAGAGCATCACTGTCTCAACACATTGCCATGGTCAAAGTTATTATTAAAATCTCTTATTTAACCCTTAAACCACACTGATCAAATCAGTTCTGAAACCCACAGGTCCACAACCCCTTACCCTCCAACAGAAAGATAAAACAGGGTGTCATCTGCATACAAGGAGAAATAGTACCAAAGTTTAACCTGAAAGAAGAGTTCTTATGTCAATCTGTGATGATGTCAGTGTGTGATGATGTCAGTGTGTGATGATGTCAGTGTGTGATGATGTCAGTGTGTGATGATGTCAGTGTGATGATGTCAGTGTGTGATGATGTCAGTGTGTGATGATGTCAGTCTGTGATGATGTCAGTGTGTGATGATGTCAGCGTGTGATGATGTCAGTCTGTGATGATGTCAGTGTGATGATGTCAGTGTGATGATGTCAGTGTGTGATGATGTCAGTGTGTGATGATGTCAGTGTGTGATGATGTCAATGTGTGATGATGTCAGTGTGTGATGATGTCAGTGTGTGATGATGTCAGTGTGATGATGTCAGTGTGTGATGATGTCAGTGTGTGATGATGTCAGTGTGTGATGATGTCACGCTGTGTTCTCTTCAGGGGCGGTGCTCCTGGACCTGAAGCAGGGGACTCTTCCGGGGATCGCTCAGCAGGTGGTGGAGCAGATGGTGATCTCTGATCAAATCAAAGCTGAAGACAGAGCCAACGTCCTGAGAGCCCTGCTGCTCAGACACAGGTCCAAACATCAATCTGTCAATCATCTTTCAATCATCAATCTGTCAATCATCTTTCAATCATCAATCTGTCAATCATCTTTCAATCATCAATCTGTCAATCATCCATCTGTCCAGTGTCGGCTGGTGCATTGATCTCCAGAGCGGGCACAAGTTGTCACAGATGGACGGGGATGTGTAGCCTCGTGTGTTAGCCTGATACTAACACATACTTGAAAACGGCATTAACTGGCTAACAGAATTAGCATCCCGATAATTTTAACTTATGAAACAATCTATTTACTGAACATATTAAACAAACAACACCATATGCACAGACACATTTAAAAAACTGCTGACCCATGCTCTGCTAGTCTGATCCACCTTTATAAACAGTCAATGCTCTGATCCAGTGACGCTGCGTGACTCGGTCTTTATGTCTATGTTCATGTGACATGTCCTGCTGCTCTGTTCTTGTGTGTAATGCGTTCATGGAAGAAGATTGGCCCGCTCAAAAGTCACAAAAAGTTTTAATGGATCAGAACTTTTAGACCTCTAAGGGCCTATCTTCTTCCTTAGTCAGCTGATTTTGCACTACGCTGCACTACGCTGTGATATGCATGACTACCTCCTTTTTCTAATGCGTTCATGGACACATTTTTACCTGCGCTCCTAAATGCTCCTGTCTCTGAACATCTTTTCACTGATGTATTTTGTTTTATTTTTGTGTTCAGCCATCCCAGTGATGAGAAAGACCACAGTCTGTTCAGCAAGAACATCTCTGCAGCCAATGTGGCCAACTTGATTGACAGACACATTGGCCAATCAGAGCACTCCACCAATGTGACCAATCACAGAGAGGCTGATGGAGAGAAAAACAAGGTAAGCAAAACAACAGATCAGATAAGTTCTGTTTCTCTGTTATTGAGTATTGGTACATTATCCCTTAAATGACACATTATTACAACTCTGACTCTAAAGGTTTAAGTCAAGGTCACTAATGTTTCTTTAGTTTTGATGATGATGACGATGGTCTCCATATTATTGATGATTCTAATGTCCTGTAAATGTGTTTGTCTTGATGTGTCATGACTGTGGTTTATGTTTCATGTTCTGCAGAACAGGAACATGCTGGAAACCAGTTTTTACACTGAGTCAGGCCCGTTAAACTGAAATTCTGATGGTAATGACGATGGTTTTATTTGATAATGACGACTTTGTGCAATGCCTGTCAGGACCTGTGGGTCCAATCAGACACAAAGCTGATCGTTTGCTCCTACTGACATTGTTTCCTTTTTTCTAGATCCTTGCTTGTGTTGTACTTACTGTCTGATGTACGTCGCTTTGGAAGCGTCTGCTAAGTGAATTGTAGAATTGTAGTTTTGTCCCTGTTTAATATGTCAACACCTAATAAGAGTTCAGTTACAAAGTAAGACAAAGGCTATCCCATTAAGGTTAAGTCCAATATGTCATATCACTTGGAGATCATGATGAACGGGTTCTTGGTGACTAGAAGAGGAACTGAGAGGTTCATGAAGCAGGTTCCTCACTTTACCCAGCTCACACCTGTTCAGGATGAGATTCAGTTGGTGTTTTAAATCCATCTCAACACTGATAACCTGAAAGTCAGAAAGGGTGGAAGAGAATAGGGTGTCATCAGTGTAGCAGTAATATTTCATGTACATGAAGTATCCACAGACCTTATTGGGTTTCTGATGGTTTACTTTTAGCCATTTTATTTGATTTAATGAACAAACTTGTGTGTCCAGAAAGAAGCCCTGCCCCTCTGTCACTCCAGATCCAAACATGAAGAGAAGCTGATGGAAAAGATCCCGGAGAGAGCGGAGGCCACTGTTGTCCTTGTGGGTACGTGTAACAAGGTTGTAGGCATGTTGTAGAGCAGCAGGCTCTGTGGGTTTACTGCTTCCCTCTGTTGTGTCTGCAGGCAGTGTAGGCTTCCTGGACCAGCCCTCCATGGCCTTCGTGAGGCTGCAGGAGGCGGTTCTGTTGGAGTCGGTCCTAGAGGTTCCTGTCCCTGTGAGGTTCCTCTTCCTCCTGTTGGGCCCGCCCACCGCCAACATGGACTATCACCAGATTGGACGATCCATCTCTACGCTCATGTCAGACAAGGTGAGTCTCTGTAGCTGGCTGGATTCCACCACCAGATGGCGCTTAATAATAAATCACTCTTCTGAAGCCAATTAAACCCAACTGATGTAGCAAATGTTGCCTCTTTCAGCACTTTCATGAGGCTGCGTATCAGGCTGACGACCGCCAGGACCTGCTGGCAGCCATCAACCGTTTTCTGGATTGTAGCGTGGTCCTCCCTCCCTCTGAGGTCGGCGATGATGAAATGCTTCACTCAGTCGCTCGCTTCCAACGAGAAATGCTCCGAAAGAGGGAGGAGGAGCAGAGCGGGAAACTGCAGGAGAAACAGAGCAGCACTCAGCAGGATGAAGGTTGGTTAGCACAGGAACACATACCTGGAACTCTTTTAAGAATATTTTTTATTAACAACAATATTGTCTTTTCATTTGAACCCTTTTTAAATTATAGTAAAATACTGACACGAGGACAACCATGGTCAGCATCTTAAACCCATCGGCCACCAGAACAAATACTTGGATTCGATCATGCAGTTAAATATTTTGTATTGCTCACAAAATATGTTGCTGTACATTGTCAAAGTGCAAAACTCATGATCAAATTTTGTGAGTCGTTAAAAACACACTGAAAGCTTCCTTTTAATAAACGTCTTTTAACTCTTAACTTCCTGCTGAAGAAATAAATCAACATCCATGTCGTTGGTCGCCCACAGTGACAAACATCTGATTTTATTCATGGATAAATCTTTGAGGTTCAAAACTGATGTAGATCCAATAACACGACCTGCTGTTCTGCTGGTGACCCAAACCCTGACCCTCAACCTTGTTACCTATGTTATTATTTACTTAAATCCTTTCTTTGTAATCAAACGTAACAAACTTACAGAAGAGATCAAAGTAGAGTTAAAGCAGGAGCTCAGTTTAAAGAGGTCATCTCAGAAGATCTCGAACATGTTCTCTGTAAGATAAATCAGCCTGTCATCAGCTAATGGTGAATACTTCATGGATGGACATGGTCTTCCTGTGATCCTGGGATATCATGGACAATCCTGCTCTCATTGTCTTGATGTCATTATAAAGTTTTGATGTCAGATCAACAGTCTCATTCTGATCTTTCAGATTCTCTTGTTCCCTCCAAACACGGAGACGAGCCCCTGAAACGTTCAGGCCGTCTCTTCGGAGGTCTGATCAAAGATGTGACTCGACGTTACCCTCAGTACCTCAGCGACCTTCAAGATGCTCTGAACCCGCAGTGCATGGCCGCCATCATCTTCATCTACTTCGCAGCACTGTCACCTGCCATCACCTTCGGTGGACTCCTGGGTGAGTCTGGACATGTGGACAGAAACACGGGACAGGGTAACACCAAGATATTTAACTTTAATGGTTGTATTGCTGTGATCTGTTTCCTGTGACACAGGTGAGAAAACAGACGGTCTGATTGGTGTATCCGAGCTGATAGTCGCCACGTCGCTGCAGGGTATAGTCTTCAGCGTCCTGAGCGCTCAGCCTTTGCTGATCATCGGCTTCTCTGGACCGCTGCTGGTGTTTGAAGAGGCTTTCTACACTGTGAGCTCACACACCCGTGTAACAGTCTCACAGCAGCAGAGTGTGTCCCTGTTACTTTGGACAGAAGTCACTGGAACAGATAGTCTGTATCTCTGACTCTTTATCTGAAATCGGTGTTGTTCTTTAGGATTCTGTTTGGAGCCTCTTTTGTTTGTCTTGTTTTATCTTTTCTTCACAGAGAGGTTTGAAAGGTTCCCTCTGAAACAGCAGCTTGACAAAAGACTCTCTGTCTTTCCTAAAACATGCATTTCAATTCCAAAGTTCTGATTACAGCAAGTATTGTGATAAATCTGAAGAATCCAGCCCTGAGAGTATGAAGTGTGTAATCTTTTGAGGGGATGTGTCTGACCTGAGACCTGTGCTGTCAAGATCATTTAACGTCATCCCTCTGTGTCTGACATATCACTGAATCTATAGCTACTGCTCCTGAATGCTGCTAACCAAAGTATCTTACTCGCTCCCATGCTTGCTGCCTCCTGAACCCGTCCTGTGTGTGTCTGTGTAGTTTTGTAAAGATAACGGGATCGAGTATCTGACAGGCCGGGTGTGGATCGGGTTCTGGCTGGTGCTGATCGTAGTCCTGACTGTGGCCTTCGAGGGGAGCATCCTGGTCCGCTTTGTTTCCCGTTTCACTCAGGAAATCTTCTCCTTTCTCATCTCCCTCATTTTCATCTACGAGACATTCGCCAAACTGATCAAGGTGAGGTCAAAGGTCATCAATATGCAGCTGAAATATTCCTGCATGGAGAAACAAACTTAGTAGTTTGTTCTGGTTGACTCGGGGCTTTTCTGGGCGGAGCTGGTGTGTTTCCTCCAGCCAATGAGAGCGCAGCAGGTGAGTTTAGGAGTGGATACAATTCAGCGATTGGACGAGATTCAAACCGGTGAATATGACGGACGTGGACGTAGCAGCAAAGAAGAGAAAATATAATGAGAGTGAGGAGAAACACCAAGTGGATAAAGCTCGTTCTAAAATGAGGGTGAACCTTGTGTTGTCTTTTACCTGTAGACGTGGAGTTGATCTACTTCCTGTTTGACAGGCAGGTGACAAACACCGGCGGTTAGCTTGTGCTAGTTTGTGGTAGCTTGGGCCCGGTTTGAATGTTGTGTTTACAAGCTTCAACCAACATTTGTACTTACTCTACCATTACGAAGGGATGCACATTTGAAAACATGCAAATGTCCCAAACAAATGCTATTATGGAAACGCAATGCAAATGAAAGAACCTGCTACAGATAGGGGGCGCTACTTTAACTCAGTCTGCAGAGCAGCACTCCATGTATAGAGGCTACCGTCCTGAACTCATTGGTAGCAAAGTCAACCCCAAATCTGGATGTCACCTCTCACTCTACCATCTCACGGCATAGGGCATTTAAATAGCCCTCGTTGGCGACCATACAAGGCTTTAGGTTTTACAAACTAGTTATGTTAGCTTAAGGATATATGATATTATTGTAAATTACATTATCTTGATAATATTTAGGTTTTAAAAAATAGGAAAAAGAGACAGGTCCATGTGTTACTAGGAGGGGTTTTGTTTTTGGTTCTCTATCCATCAATCCTGTTCTTGTGAACACAATATGTCAGGAACGCTAAGAGAGAATATCTTAAACATTAATTAGGCTCGTTCACACAGGTTCATGAATCAAAGAGTAGAATTTTGTAATCAGAGTTTAAATATCAAGGTATCGTGTCTCTCGCTCACCTGTTCATTGTGAACTCTGAACTCCGCTCAATGAGGCTGAAACGTGATGTAGAACTTATGGTTTCTATTTTTCTGTCTTTTTACCCCCAGATCTTTCAGGAGCATCCCCTTCAAAACTGTTACCATGGAAACAACACAGTGTCCTCATCTAAATGCAACTACACCGCAGCAGCAAGGGATTCTGGGAAGATTGTTGGAGAACCAAACACAGCCCTGCTGTCATTCGTGCTCATGGCTGGGACGTATTTCATTGCTTTCTACCTGCGCAAGTTCAAGAACAGCTCCTTCTTCCCCGGGAGGGTCAGTACACACTCTCATATACAGACACTGATGCAGAGGATAATACAGCTTTAACACAACTACATACAGGTTCAGTCTGAGGATACATCCATCCATCCCTCCACCCATCCATCCCTCCACCCATCCCTCCACCCAAACTTCCTTCTATCCATCCCTCAATAAATCCATCCATCCATTGGTCTTCCCTCCATCCATCAATCTATCCATCCCTCCATCCATCCATCCACCCATCCATCCCTCCATCAATCCTCCACCCATCCATCCATCCATTGGTCTTCCCTCCATCCATCAATCCCTCCATCCATCAATCTATCCATCCCTCCATCCATCCATCCACCCATCCATCCCTGCATCAATCCCTCCACCCATCCATCCATCCATTGTCTTCCCTCCATCCATCAATCCATCCATCCCTCCATCCACCTCTATCCCTCCACACCACCCATCCCTCCATCCATCCCTCCATCCATCCATTGGTCTTCCCTCCATCCCTCCATCCATCCATCCATCCTCCATCCATCCATTGGTCTTCCCTCCATCCATCATCCATCCATCATCCCTCCATCCCTCCATCCCTCCATCCATCCATTGGTCTTCCCTCTATCCCTCCATCCCTCCATCCATCCATTGGTGTCCCTCCATCCCTCCATCCATCCATCCATCCATCCATTCCTCCATCCATCCATCCA